ATTCACACATTTCAGTTCTGCCTCTGATTTTTCATAAGTTGAAGATATTTATCGTTTTAGACTTTATTGAAAAGGAGTAGAAAATCAGATTGTGGAAGTAAGGACTTTGAGATCTGTTTGAGAGCATGAATCTCTATCATGAGATCTATGATCTCTATAATGAAAGAGAAAATTTTATTTTATTAGCTATTCCTTGATCATCAATAATTATATGGTCTATTGGGAAGAAAGAACATAATATTACTGAATGTGATAAAACTTGAGATAATGCAGTCCAATTTATATATTTTCTTTTGTGAAGAGTATTTGTTAATTGCAATGTGTCACTTAATGGAGTTTTCTCAATATTAGTATCTTCAGAATATATAAACTTTGGATACGTAGATAACCAAATATAGGTTATCTTAGACTCATAATCGATTATGTAAGTTCTTAATAATGAGTTTGAAAACACGAGTCCATTAAAAATGATATGTATATCTCTAAGATACACATGATGGTCTAAAGGGTACTTCTTCATTAGTGAAATCTTGGTTGGATATCAAGTCACAAGATGTGATATTTGACATTTTTTCTTGTAAGAGAGAAAACTTTGGAAAATATTATTGAAATTGATATGATGTGTATTGATGAATCAATTCTGAATATATAAGAGTTGTTTTAAGCTTCGATTTAAGTGAGAGAAATCTGTTTACGAGTGTGAGCTATCTATCCAAATTGGAGCTATATAAGAACTATCTAATTTCATTATTATTGGTTCCGAGTGAGAGTTAAGAGCTATTTAATTTCAAATTTTTATTAGTTCAGAAATCCAGTGGAAAAATTTGAAAAAAGTGATAGATAGTATATATAAAGTATAGAATTTCAACCTAATTTGAGAAGTGATGGAAGTTTTAATTGGATATTATTTTTATTGAGAACATTCAAGTTCTTAAAAATTAAATAGAAGACTGATAAGTTTATGATAAATAAAACTTATTTTTTAAAAACAAATGTTATATTATGAGTATATTGAGTCACACAAATTTTTTCTTAGCAGTGAGATTCACTTCTATGCGTTGATGCTAACTATGATAGTGTATTTAAGTTTAGATTACACCAAATAAACTTATAGATTGTATTTTCATTCTCAATTGAGAATTGATTGAAAAGATCTACATGAATCGATTTGTAGGTTTCATGTTAAAGGCTTCTATAGTATTATTGTAACTTCTTAGTTACACTTGTAGCCTAATGCAGTCACCTTGACACTGGTACACGAGTTTTAACAGGGTTTAAATCTCGTACAAATTTTCATCATGTTGATGAAGTTTACTGCATTTATGTAAAAGTATGATGGTATGTTGTAAATCTAATTTTGATGTTGATGACACTATATTGGCTAAGTATGAGAATGAGTGTATTGAGACCATTTTGAAATGGTTGTTCTTAATTTTTGAGACGAAGGACATGAGTTTAGCAAATTGTACATTTTGTGTTAAAAAGATTATTCTAGTTTTATTTCTCTGTTACAAGAGTTATATACCATAAAGATTCTAAAATATTTTTAACTGTATAATTGCTACCTTGTTGATGCTCCTAGGTCGAAAGGTAATCATATGAGTCTTCATGTATGTCCAATGACTACATAAGTTTACAAAGAAATATCCAGATGACCATATCTGGTGCGATTAAGAATTAGAAGTATGCTATGATGTATACTTGCCCTAATATTTGTCATGCCATAGATCTAATCAATATGTATCGATGTTGTCCTTCGAAAGGATATTGTGATACCTGAAGAGTGCTGCTGTCAATTATTTTATTTGTTGTCAAAAGGAATAACTTATGATTGGAATAGATATGTAAATATCGACTAAAGACGAGAGTTAGTCGAACCCAAATAGTTATTAGACTTATACAATCTTGCTATATAGAGTAGCAAGAAGTATATCTTATTGTATATATCTTGACAGTTGAAGAAATTATTTGGTATAGATGTACAGGGCATCTAATAATATTAGTTGAGAATATGTGATCAATGATAATTATACAATTATCTCATGTATTAAGGTTTTCAAATATCATGATCGAACCAAACACTCAATAGTATTTCTGTGAGAGACATTAATAAAGAAAGTGTCTTTACAAAATGTCTACGTAAATTATGGTATGTAATCATTATAATCTANTTTATGTGTAATTTAATGTTGGGATTACGAGATAATATTTTGCATGCATATATAAAGTATGTCACACAGGTTGAGATTGGCTCACTCACACGAGTAATCACCTCATACATTTTGGAGTGTGCTGAGATGAGACATAATGATTATGTTGTGTACATGATCTAGTCGCCTTGATGAGATATCAAGATAAGATTGCAAAAAGTAATCGAAATGAATTTTGCTAATACGTTAAACCTGTTTAGTAGTCAGATCGAGTTCTCGATTTGAGATTGTCTCGAGGAATGAACATAAGGATAACTCAAGTTAGGTATCGGAGAATACCTGAACTATGATATGTACGGTGTTATTTGTTTATAAATGATATGACATATGCCCTACGAATGTGAAAAAACATCGTAGTGCGTGTTTCATACCACATGTGCTTTTACAATCAATATAGGGTAAATAAGTGAATGGATCCCTGCTTGCTCATTGTGTGAGACCTTGAGGTTTATATAACCCCATATAGATCCTTATGACTTTTAACTATTTCTTGAGATTTTTTTTCAGTGTTGCTTTTTTAACATGTTGCCAATAACTATGATTAATTCGGTTTGATGGGACATGTCTAGGAAAGCAGTTGATTTAAAATTGAAGGATTTAAGTAGGAAATGAAGACTATTTTGACCAACATTTATATTTGTATTCACCTGTCAGACAATTGTGTTAAACCATTTAGGGTATAGACACAATTGTGAATACAATGATAAGATGTGAGGTTCAAGTATATTCCATAAATACTTGAGGGATCAGAAATACATGAATTAATGTTGGAAAATAAGTTTGGGGTGTAGCGATATGTATTGTTCCTCTAATAGAGCTACTATAGATCCGTAACAGGTTAATAGTATCATGAGCTCTAATATACTCGTTGATCGCACGATCTATTTGTCGTATGAATTTTTGTGAGTTAGATCTTGATAAAGAAAGATTTAACGTGTGACATTCGTTGCCCCGTGTAGTTCGGATCAATCCCATCATGCGCGAGTGAGAGATGTTAGAAAATATGGATCATGGGTCGCCTATATAGGATGACCCGACCCACAAGACATCAAAAGGGTTGGATGGAGTGATTTGAGTTTGAAATTCAAATCCACAACTCCCCATAACCTCTCATGACTCTCATAAAACCTCCAATTTTCTTGTCTAGCAATGGAGAAAAAATGGTAGAAAAATAGTGAAATTTCGTATGGAAAATATCTCAAAAATTGAAAGGCACCTAGAACCACTATTTTGGCATGAAAACTCACAAATATTAGCACTTAGGTTGTGGCTAATAATCCATTGCATTGTGATCGGGAATTGGGCAATTGGAGTGCAAGAAAATTGCAGATTTGGAGTTTTGGAAAGTAAGGTGATTCAACCATTCAAAAGATCTTGAAATTCATCATTTCAAGTAAGCATCTTGACTCAAAATTCATTTTAAAGTATGCTTCAAATTACTTCAACCTCATTCCTTGTCTCTATGTTAGTTATAGCATTTATAGGATGAAGTTTGTCCCTACATTTTCATTATAAACGCAAAATCAATTCCAATAACCATCTAAATCGTCATTAATTATCATGTAGCTCCCACGAAAACACTCCCACCTTAAATTTTTACTTAATATATGGGTATGAGAACGACATAAAGTTTCTTAAAGTAGCCAAATTGATACATATGCCCTTATTTGGTTTAAATAAAAATCAAATTTTTAGTAATTTTTGATCAAAATAATAAAATGCATGATTAAAAAGTTGTATATCTCATAAAATATGTAGACTAACACGTGAATAATGACCATTAAAAAAATAACTATATTCCTCACATGATCCTTCCATACTAATTATCCAATCCAGTAAAACACATTTGGGATACAATACTTATTTAGCGAATCACATGTGACACATTAAATCTTTCGATACAAAAGCAGTTAAAATTATTATTCCAGCTCAATAAGCCGGTATAAAAATTAGGGAACATGCAAATTTTTAGGAACAAAATTTCAGATAAGACCACTTGTCAAACCTCTGAAGCCTAAGTTCGTACAACGATTGGGATTGAACACTGAAGTTGTAATAAATATATATCGAAAATTGCATTGATGATTTCAACTCTCGATATTATATGTGAGTTGTCAACATTTATAGACAAGGAAGTTGGTCCTACATTTTTCATTTACAAACCATCCAAATCTGCAAATATATGCACTTTTAAGTTTTTGCTAGATGGTTGGTAAAATTACACCTTTTCTTGAGTTCAACAAGAACTAAATTTCATTTAGAAACTCAAATTTCGTATCTATGAAACTTTGCGTCGATCTCCCTTTTGAAAATTCACAAAAGTTCTTCGGACGATGAGCCAAGATATATAATCTTGTTTTGTTTTTTCGCTTGTTCCAAATTGTAAGCCACTATCCCTTTAGAGTATAGTTTATTTTTTGTTTTCTATTATACCCTTATTTTATGTGCTCTGTTATCAATAAAAATGAACTACTTTTATTAAAATCATTGTTTAATGTAGGGGTATATTAGGAAAGAAATAAGTAAAAATTATATTTTTAACTAATTAATTATATATATTTTTAATCCGTGTAAAAATGAAAATAATACTATATTTATGGGACGAAAGAAATATAAGATAATGATAAAAAGGTAACATTGTTCTCTTTCTAACAAATTAAATTGTTTCTTATGCTTTACAACCCAAGAAAGAGAAGAAAAGACACACACAAAAACAAATATAGCAACATTAGTAATCACTAATAAATTAAGATCACCATTTTATGTGGCATGTACGGAGCAATCAATTCTTCAAATCTTTGCCCTGGGAAGAAGTATTGCTTTTAGAGGATTTTTCATTACAACAGTGAAAGCAAAGGTCTCTGTCGGGTCGGGTGGGTTATCCGGAATAGGTATCCACTTAAAAGCTTGTACCATTTTAGCCAACAATAAATTCACATGCAACGTACCAAGTGTCCAAGCAGGGCAGATTCGCCTGCCGGCACCAAACGGTAACATTTTTACTCCCCTCATTCCGGTGATGTCCACCTCCACGCCGTCACCGGTCAAGAACCTCTCCGGCTGGAACACGCTAGGGTTCTGCCATGCACTCGGATCCTCTGTCAGCCATGCAGTGTAAAACTCAACGTTCACGTCCGCCGGAATTGTGTATCCGGCGAGTTCTGTATCCTTTATGGCTGCATGAGATAGCATAAAATGGCTTGGAGGGTGCCTTCTGAAAGTCTCTTTTATAATTGCACCAAGATAGGGCATTTTCTCCACATCATCTTCTGTGATTGGCCCATTTTTCCCTACACAGTTTACAATTTCTTTGTAGAGCTTTTCTTGGATTTCTTGGTCCATTACCAAATGCAGCAAGGCCCATTCTAGTGCGGTGGCGCTTGTATCAGTTCCAGCGTTGATTGCCTCAGAGCACAGTGTAACAATTTCTTCTTCCCCAAGCTTGCCCCGGCCGGCGGGTTCGAGGTGGAACAAGGAATCAATATAGGCGGCGCCAAGTGGGCTCGCCATTTCTGAAGTGGTGGCGCTAGGGTTTCCTCCGCCATCAACAAATGCCTTTCTGTTTCGAATCAAAGGAATTAAGCAGTCAAGTTGCTTCTTCCTCAGCTCCTTTGCCTCTTTCACATGGCGGCGGAACAGCGGCGCGAACAGCGGCAAGAAATCCGGTAGCTTTGGCGTTGTTGCCATCATCACGTCTTTGAGTATACTTTCAATTATTCTGATACGATCTTCGGAGATTTTTGCACCAAAACATAAACATATAAGAATACTACAAATTGTGAGCCTGCAATTGCTCATCACCTCTACATAGCCATTCTTGGAAGCCTCATCTTGAAGCCTCCTCATGTGATTCTCCATAGCCCACTTTCTGATCCAACTGCACTGTTTGATCCTAGTAGGGTTAATCAACTCGGTGACAAAGTTCCGACGCAGGATCCGCCACAGAGGACCATATTCCGCCGAGTTGATGGCACATTTTCCGACGCTGAAAATGAGTCGAATCGGTGAGTCCGGCGGCCGGCTGGCAAACATTGCACCTTTTTGGACCAGAGCTTCATGGATAAGCTCTGAACTCGTGATTATTACCATAGTTCGTTGTCCCATTTGCATGGTGAAAATAGGGCCATATTTTTCACGTAAATCACGTACAACATATATAAAAGGGCGGCGTTGGAGGATGACTTGGAATAGGTTCCCCACTAACGGCCAACCTGGTGGCCCTGGCGGAAGATTCTTTGCTCCGCCGCCGGTGGCGGACCAATGCCGCCACCATAGACGGAGAAAAATAGCTGCTATGCACAGTAGAATTATGTCTATTAACACCATTTTTGATACAGAAAATCGGTGGGTTGGGGGTAAAGAGTGTGATGTAAATACGAGGGTTGGGAAAAAAATAGAACTAACATAGGGTTTATAAAGAGAGAACGTAGTAGTGGAGGTAGGTGAATGATTTTAATTAGCCTAACCGTATTAAATAATAGGATCAGAAATGTTTATCACTTTCGTACCAGTGGATGTGATGTATTATCTCATTGCTTGTGAGGATTAAAATTAAATTTTTAACAAATTTTAATAAAAAATAATAAAATGTATGATTAAAAAGTGATGTATTTCATAATGTGATTAAAATTAATTATTGAATTTTAATTGAATTAAAATTATAATTTTAAGCATACCAAACAAGAAATATATATAGAACCTATTTGGGCCAGATTAAAATCTGATTTTAATTTAAGGGGTTGTCTGGCAGCACTTTTTGCCACAATTGGTAGTAATATTCAGACCGTTGCAAAAGTAAATTGTGAGAGAAAAGTCAAAATTTACGGCTACCAACGGGAAGAAAAACACTGTCAACGGTTAGAAAAACACTTAAAATCTAGAGGAAAAGCACAAACAGACAGGCCCTAAATCAAAGTCAAATAATCAATATTAATCCCATCTTTCATGGGTTTCACATCTGTTCAACCACACATTTCAAAAATTTCTATCACAATCTACTAAAAATCTAATTTTAATCCCCACCAAACACTCTCATAGTTGGGTCAGAGACAAATTCAAGATCGGATTACAAAATTTTTAAGCCTAACTAATATGTAAAGAAATCATGGTTTTAATGAAATGGAATTTGATTACTCCATCTATTTTTATTGTTCGACTATAATGGAACAATTGATGTGCCAGTCTACTCCTTCGTCATAATAATTAATTCTCTATTAATAAGATAGGAAAATAATGAAAAAAATCTTCATTTTAATTTTAAGTAGGAGGCTTAAAAATCTGAGCCCGATTTAGATTTTTAAGAAGTGATTTTCTTGAAGAATGTGTGACTGAAAGTAAGAAAAAAATTTATGAATTCGTGTAAAATTATTTTATTAGTAAAATATGAGGTAGAATTTTTTTTTTTTTTTTTTGAAAAACAAAATCAATCAAGGACTAAATAATCAACTTGAAAAGAAATTTCAAGTCAAATTGAAACAACTTAAACTTTGACTAAACTGAAGAGCATTTGATGCCACATATAGTCGTTCATTATCGTATTTGTCTTACGTTGCATGCATGTCACGATTTTTATTGTCTCATGCATCAAATCATTAATCGCTACATATATATTACGTAGGACGACTATCGTAATGAATAATTGCAACTAGCATTATTCGTTAAATCGAACTGGTGTTTCTTAACCATGTGTAAGTCATATAACGTGTCTATAAAAACAGTTGCACTCGCATTAACTGGGGGTATATGTAGGACATACTTTCTGGGGAATTAGGGGCATGTTTGTTACAGATTTTCATTTTCTACAGTAAATCAATTCTCATTTTCAACCACACATTCTTTAATAAAATAATATTTTTCATCACATCAATACTTTTTTCTTCTTCTTCAACCACACATTTCCAATTATATCACTATTTAAAAATCAATTCTTCCCCCAAAAATCCCTACCAAACACTCTCTAGATGAAAAAAGCAAGGTCAATAAGCTGGGGCCGAAACCTGATTTCCAGAGAAGAAAGGTCAACAGCACGGAGTTAAAATATTGACAGAGGGGTAGTTGGCTTCGAATTTAACCCACTATTCCTGGTAGTTGAGCCTTTTGACCTGCTTAATTAATGTAGGTATGTTGGTGACAAAGCAAAAAATTGATAATTGTTGTAAAATGAAAGTAAATTAGGTTTATTGTAAATGACACTTGTACCCTGCAATTCTAGATATAATTATCATATGTATCCCTATTCCTTCCCTATAAATATAGGGTTTTGATTCTCATTATAATACACACAAGTCTATTGATTTTTCTTATTCTCTTCTTATCTCTCTTTTTATAACACGTTATCAGCACGAACGTTTTTATTTTAATTATTTTTTCTTTTAAAAAAAATTAATTAGTAGTTGAATCTGCACCCTTCTCTGCACTGTTGCAATTTGAAGTCACATAAAAGGTGTCCTTGGAATTGGTTGGGGACGAAATTGCTAAGGCATGGCTGGTATATATAATTACCTTTGGTAGGCTAGCCACCATCGTTGAAAACTGTGATTAAATTACCCTTTGAGTTGTTACAGGTATGAATTATTTCACTAGTTCAATATTTTAGTGATTAGCCCACGTAGTTCAATGCTCCAATTAATTTTCAATCGCCGTATTTAGTTTTGGCATGTGCATATAATTATCTTGTTTTTAGTTTTTGCCCAAATCACATATAATTGTGCATATCCAATCATCGAATTTAGATCTTTTCTTGTCTATCGTTTGATTAATTTCTCGTTCATGTTCGTAGTATAATTTATGAATTTAGTGCTCTTATATTTGTCTTTTATAAAATTGTTGTTGCTCCTGAAATAGTACAATATTATAATTAATATTTCAAATGAATATTACTTGTAGATCTATATACAAATAGTTTGTTGTTGCTCTTGAAGTAGCGTAACATTATAATTAATATTCTAAAAGAATATTATATTTATTACTCCAGAAGAGCAAAACTTTATACAGATAAGTATCTTATGATGATAATTTATCAATGCTATTGAAAAAGCAAAGCTCTGCAAATATTAATATGTGCTAGATAATATACTCCTTTAGAGTTAATATTTCTAAATAATAGTATGTTGGTGTTCCTGAAGTAACACACTATTATTGACAAATATTCCAGTTAAATTTTACTTGTTCCTGAATAGTACAATTAAATACGATCTAACATAAATTATTTTTTTACTCCCGAAGAGTTAATTTATTATAACAATATTTGATTACTCATGTAGAGCATGAAATATAATTTTCAATATTACAAAAGAATATTGACATATTGCTTTTGAATTAGCAATAATGAATACAATGTGCTCTCAAAGCAGCACACGTCTCTAAGAATTATAGCTCGTTGCGTTCCCGAAGAATACAAATTCCCTATATTTCTGAAAATTAATTCGAGTGATATATGGGGCCCCGTCACCCTCCACGTTGACCATCTAAATATTATTTATATCTAATAGATTTGATATAAATATTAGATGATTGCATGATGTTTGCAACCTGAAGTTCGCGAAAGTGCTCCTCAAATTATGAGCATAATTTTCAAATTATACAATTAAGACATGTGTCTTTGTAATACTAATGATCCTAAATCTCAACTATTTTATAGGTGTTATTTGAGATGTTGATAAATGGTTTAACATTATTGTTTGTTAAATGCCTCCAATTAATTTAATTGAGAACCAAGTATTTCCCATTTCAGTTTAGGGAAAGTCATTACGCATCATACCAACATCATAATTCTCCTAGTTATAACTTGGCTTATTGGCATAGCCTAATTTTTCCATCAAATTATTTCGATAGTGTAATATATGTAAAATTAATCTACCACAATGTACTAAGATGGAAAGTAAAAAATTGTGAGAATAAATGGGTGGTATGAACCCTTATCCCAAATGGGTGATATTTTATAACTCAGTGAAAATTATTGTCAATTTGATTTGACAATTCTCTAGATTATGGGGAAGAATTAAGAAGTTGGAAATAATATACAAATGCAAAATTATCTAAATTTTCGCAAAAGACAATTCGAATTAGAAGTTCGAAAGATAATTCATTTAGATGCATTTATTGACCAAAGAGATTAACAATCTCACCCATCAGCTTTAAATGCTGCAACTCGAATTGACTCCTGGAAGGATAATTCGTTGATATTATATTTGATAAATTTATGGCACGCCTGAAGCGTGATGATATTCGATTTTACTACAAAATCCTCTAAACGAAAATGGAGCAATTGAAAAAGATTGTCTTATTAAGGAAGTATATACTCTTAATGAGTATTTAGACATAACATATTATAAAACCCCAGAGGAAGTTCAGGCACCTGAAATAATGAAAATTGAGATATCTCAATAAGTTATGTCATTATGGAAAAAGAAATTGAATCGAAAAATATAACAAAAAGTTGTCGGAAACACTTTTGCACATGAGTAGCGAATCATATTATGAGTAGCGAGGATATTAAAATGACGCGATCCTAGTGAAAGAATTTACTAGAGAAACATGAAATTTCTGGATCTACAATCTGAACACATAAATGTGTATATATATGCGAAATGAAAATGGAAAAAGTAAAGTCGTAATAGGAAATGTACGATTCTTTATATAATGAATTTTGCGAAGACTTGTATAAATAGATAAATTATCATGTGGTGGATGTGATCACAAGTCTCTATTTCATAGCGTGACAATACATGAAATTTAATATGCAAGTGATTATAGACAATTTATGGTTTTGATACTATTTTGTAAAGATCATTATATGGATTGAAACAATCCGGACGCATGTAGTATAATCGTTTTAGCAAATATTTGTTGAAAGAAGGCTATAAAAATGATGATATTTGCCCATGTGTTTTCATAAAGAAAACAAATATTGGATTTACAATTGTGGTGTTTATGTTGATGACTCAAATTTAATTAGAACTTTTAAAAACTCAACAAAATTACAGATTATTCGAAAAATGAATTTGAGATGAAAGATTTGGGAAAAATCAAATTCTGTCTCGGATTGTAGATTGAACATTTCCTACAAGGATTATTTGTTCATTAATCTACATATACAGAAAAAGTCTTAAAACAATTTTATATGGATAATGCACATCCATTGGCATCACCTATAGTTGTTCGATCACTTGATATAAAAAAAGGATCTTTTTCGTCCACTTGAAGATGGAGAAAAGATTCTTGGTCCTGAAGTACCATATCTTAGTGCAAGTGGAGCATTAACTTATCTTGCAAATTGCACTCAACTCAACATAGCTTTTTCTGTAAATCTCCTTGCAAAATATATC